AATCATATAGAAGGGAAGTTTTAAAAAAGAAAAGTAAAGGGAGAATTTGCTAAATTCTCGTGGTGTTCCTTGCCTTTCACTTTCCCTCCCCTAGAAGTTACTGGTATGGCCCCTGTTATTCTCAGTAATGCAGACTTGTGCAACTCCTACAAGTGGACGCCTAACAAACCACTGGGAATGTTCCTGGAGTCGTTTGCTTTCGCCCTTGATATTTCTCATGGAGTTTTAGAAGTCGTAAAATTATTTACTAATATTTAGACGATCTACATTGATGTATTACGTCGAGCAGGCCATCCCAATATCGTGCGCTATGTGGACGTAGAACGGCGAGATAACGAGTTTTGGTTGATCACGGAATTTATGAAGGAAGGGAATCTGCATGATTATCTCAAGGTAGCTTTATTGATCCTTTGTTATCAACGTCGAAACCTTCTTGCGAAGTCAATCTGCAGATAGGTTGTCACGCGGTTTTTTTACGAAATTGTTTTCTTATGGGCTATCTTTGTTGTTTGTTGGCGAAATACGAATAGTAATTAGCTGAGTTACGCGCTGCTTATTCCAAGCAACAATGAGCTCCAATTTTCGGACTCAGTGATTAACGGAATTTGGGGAATCCTCCACAGCATATCTAGATCTTACTCGAGATTTCGGCAATGCTCGCCTTAGGGCGAGGAAGTATCTTACTGGTTTTCATCTACGCGGAGACTCGTAAACTCCTGTGGTGCCGTGAAATTGCACCTAACGAAGCTTGTACTAGCAACTTTGTGGAGTTTTTTAAACTCGTGTATAAAGATGTTATATAGAAAATTTCGTAAGGTTACAGGAGTTCACATGGCTCATCAGAGCAAATTTGCGGAACTTCTTCCATTTCGTAGCTTTACAGAAGTTCACAGGTCTCACCAAAGTGAGGAAAATTAACAAAACCAGCAAAAGTCCCTGCCCCTCCCCCCTCCGCTAAGGCGTACAGTATGAGAATCCTCTATTTCAGCCTCCCTTTCCCCTCAACTTCTCCCCGTTTCAGCATTCTCATTGTTACCAGTGCATAGCTTCCTCTACTGAGTCATCGTTTATCATTTTTTTGATGACGGGTTGACAGGAAATAATCGGCGAATTAATTTCCATATCCATAACTTCCCTGTTTATTTCTAACTGTCAGAATTTAATGCCTTCTAATGGGGCTGGATCTATAGACGTCCAGTATAATAACTTCCACTTTCAACTTTCTTTCAATTGCACACTATGTGAACGTTTACAAAGGTGGTCTAAAAGTCTCGATGCCCCTATATTTTTTCAAACTAGTAGTTTGTAAAGGAAGTCGTGTCCCTATTGTGACTTTTTTCTTTTTTATTTTCTAACTCAACATACAATTAGAATTAATCAACAATATACTCGTCATTGTTAGCCACTACAGTGCTCCACCTAATGGGCAGTTTAGCGATCCCTTTTCGTA